CTCACCCAGAGATTCAGAGCGAGGGGTGCACCTGCCTGGGGAGGGGGTGCTGTGGGGTGTCCACGACACATGCCGCTCGGCTCACCCAGAGATTCCGAGCGAGGCTGCCTGGGAGGACACAGCATCCGCAGGGTTAATCAGAGGTGCGGGTCACTGCTGTCCGCAGCCTGAGTGGGTACCACTTCTCTGATTGGTGGTGTGTAGGCTGAGGGTCTGACAAAGCCTGTCCCATCAGCCGTATCTACCGCAGAGGACTCAGGCATCCTCCACTCCCCCCAGCCCACCTTCCTCTGCTCCGTCCTCTTAGCAGCCAGGGCCCTTCTCCTGAAACTAGGCCTCTGGCCTCCTCCTCTCCCACTTCTGCGGCCCACTTCCTGCACCCTGTGTATTTCCCATTAAGAAACAGGAGACCGTAAACTGATGATGACTCATGCTTTCTGAGAAGGTCATCCAGGGATGTCTCGGCCTGTCAGGGGATTGTAGATTCAATATTTCCCTTTGAGATGGGTTGACACAGTGGCTGAAACGGTGGCTCAAACAGGGCAATGAACATGAGGATGGCCCAGGACCCCCCCAGTGTCGTTCTGTTGGACCTGGGGCCACTAGGAGTCAGAACCGAGTCAGCAGCACCTAACGACAACATCCGCCCATTAAAGAAGTTAAGCCCTCAGCTACTATCCGGAAGGTCAGTGGTTCAATTCCACCAGGCGCTCCGTGGGAGAAAAGACCTGGCTGTCTGCTCCCATAAAAATTACAAAACAAACAAACCCACCGCCATCAAGTTGATTGTCACTCATGGACCCTCGCTGGGTCTCCAAGGCTGTAAATCTTTGCAGAAGTAGATTGTTTCATCTTCCTCCCATGGAATCTCTCGTGGGTTTGAACTGCCTGCCTTCTGGTTAGCAGCCAGATGCCTTAACCACTATGCCACCAGAGCTCCTTCCCATAAAGTTTATAGCCTCGAAAACTTTGAGGAGCAGTTCTGCTCTGTCGCAGTGGGTCGTTTGGAGTCAAAACTCGACGTGGCAGCACTAGCAACAGCATCTCCCCTTTGTGTTCGAGTGGAGAAGGTGGGCTGCCTCAGTCTCAATCCCCAGCCCTTGTGTAGGGCAGTGGGAGGGATCATGCAGACAAACCAAAACCACACCCACTGCCTGAAGTCGATTCTGACTCACAGCGCCCCTAGAGGACAGAGTGGAACTGCCTCACAGGGTTTCCAAGGCTGTCAGTCTTTATAGAGGTAGACTGCCTCATCTTTGTCCTGCAGACTGGCTGGTGGATTCCAGCTGCTGGCCTTTGGTTAGCATCCGAGTGCTTTAACACTGCACCACCAGGGCTCAGAGAGTTGTTTTTAGTTGCCATTAAGTTGATTCCAGTTGGTGGTAACCCTCATGTGCAGGGTAGACCTGCACCACAGGGCGTGTGAGTCCTTGATCTTTTGGAAGCAGACCACCAGGCCTGCCTTCCAAGCCATCTCTATGTGGGTTTGAACCATCAACCTTTTGGCTAGTACTTGAGTGCTTAAGTGCTTGTACCACGCAGAAGCCTTGTTAAAAGACCAGAAGCTCTCCACTTCTCTCTGACCATCTTTTCTCCCACTTCTGTAGTCTCAGAGATAATTTTTTTACCTGTAATTATTGAGAATTTACTACATGCCCCATATATTATGTGCCTACATGTTATCTCACCAAATCCCTACAATAATCAGTCCGGCAGCATAAGGTCTTTGAACACCTTCTGATAGGGATCCAGGTTTCTAGAGCTTGCAGCTTCTCCCAGCGGGTCCAGGGTCCAAGGCTAAATGGGATTTGAACCAATGACTCTCCACCTCCTAAGCATATTTCCATGGCCCCAGCCTCTCAGGCCATGGCCTGGCCCTGCTCTGCCCTATGGGGGTCCAACAGTGTCGAAAGTGCAGCTGTGGGGTTCCTTGATCAGGGGCCCCTGTGTTGCTTTCATCTGCTCGTCAGAAGATAGATGACAGGCTGCCTCTGTGGCCGAATGAGATTTCCCTGGCACGGGCTTATCTGCTGAGGCAGAAAAGTCACACACATTCAGGCAGCCTGATAAGCAGCCACAGCTGAAAAGACCTTTGGCCAAAAAACAGTTGGAAAAGCCCAGAGTCTGCCTTCCCTGAGCAATGAGCGCTTCCCAGCCCTGGGCCTGGCATCCCTGGTAGTGGTGGGGGAAGGCACCAGTAATCCTCTCCCCCAGTGCACATCAGTCCCCCTCTGCCTGCTCCCCAAGGAGGCCTGGTGCCGCCATCGTCAGAGCTCAGCTGCTAACCAAAAGGTTTGCGGTTTGAACCCCCCCAGCCACTCCACGGGAGAAAAGACCTTGTGATCTGCTCCCATAAAGATTGTTGTTGTTGTTGTTGGTATGTGCCGTCGAGTTGGACCCGACTCAGCGACCCCTCCTTGGGTTTCCAAGGCGATATCACTACAGAAGTAGATTGCCCAATCTTCCTTCCGAGGAGTGGCTGGTGGATTTGAACTGCCAGCCTTCTGGTTAGCAGTCAAGTGTCTTAAGCACTGTGCTACCAGAGCTCCCTCCAATAAAGATTACATCTTTGGAAACCCTATGGGGCAGTTCTACTCTGTCACATGGAGTCAGAATCGGCTCGGTGGCACCTACCAACAACATACCAGCTCTCCAGCCTGTCCCCTGCAGCAGGCAGAGTGAAGCCACAAGAGGCTACGTCACTCTTTTAAGTGCATCAAGAAAAAGGCCTCTTCTGAGTGATGCTGTGTCTTCGTGCAGCTTTAGCTTGCTGAGTCCCCGGGTGGTGGTGCAAATGGTTAATGCACTCAGCTGCTACCCAGCAGGTTGGCGGTTCAGTTCCACCCAGAGGCACCTGGGAAGAAAGTCCTGGTGACCTCCTTCCAAAAAAATCAGCCCTTGAATGAAAACCGTACGGAGCACAGTTCTGTCCTGACACACATGGGGTTGCCATGAATAGAGATTGACTCAACGCAAAGGGTTTGGTTTAGTTTGGTGTCTGGTGTATGAAGGGAGTTGCAGGGGTGGGGGGAAGGAGTGGACAGGAGACGAGGAGGAGCTAACCCCAAGCTTCCTCCTCTCTGGCCACCACGAAGCACTTGGGCTCAGGAGCAGCATGGCTGCAGCCTGGGGACTCGGTGTGAGGCAGACGCCAGGAACGGCTGTCATCCACCACTCAGGCCCCAGAGATACTGCTTTTGCTTGGAAAGCCGATTCATCAGGAATGAGAGCTGTGATTTTTGGGAACTTTAAGCAGTGAGGTCAGGCATTGAGTATTTTCCACAAAGAGAAAGAGACATCCCAGCTGCTGCCTCTTGCTCCAACTCATGAGCTGTTGACTCCCAGGGAGAAAGCCTGCAGGACTCAGGTCCTCACAGACAAACCTCTCCCGTCCTGTCCTACTGCTCACAGTCCCACATGGCTTTCACCATGTGCGCGGACCGTAATTTATTTCCCAGATCCCCTACTGATGAATGCTAGGTTGTTTTCAGGAGTTGGGATATTATAAACAGATCTCAGTTAGGATACTGCATGCTGCTCTTTGGACACATGTGTAGGGGTAATTCATAGAAAAGTAGTTG